CTTTCTCAATCACCTGAAATAGCTTCAGTAGGATTGGAATCAGTTCCTCCTTAAATGTCTGGTAGAATTCTGCTGGAAAGCCATCTGGTCCGGGGCTTTTTTTTTGTAGGTAGTTTTCTTATTACATAGTCAATTTCCTTGATTGTTATTGGTCTATTTAGGGTCTCAATTTCTTCTTGTTTCAGCCTAGGCAGGTTGTGTGATGGCGGAAAGTCCTCCATGACTCCTTATATTTTATTCTGGGCAGGTATGATGAAGTAGGGCTCCCTCTTCCCTGAACTCCCAGTCTGAAGCTACAGTTTCACATTGGCAGGGACAGCTGTCTATATTTCTTATCCCCCGTCTCCCCCCTGACAACCTTGTGTTGCAAAAACTCTTCCAGGTGGGGACAACCAAAAGAACTGGAAATCTCTTCTTCCACTCAGCACTCTCCCTCCACCCCATGCACCCCCATAGAGTGGAAGTTCTATTCCATGAACAGGCTGAGAACGGGCCCTGGTTTTTTCTATCCCAGCTTGCATACAGGGTTGGAGGCTTCACTCAAAGAGGGGGAAACTGGCTAATATTAGGGACTTCCACTCCACCCTATTGCCCATGAGTAGAGTAGTGATTTTACTTCCAGAAAAGTGAAATCTTCAGCTTTGGTTCAGTGGTACAGAGGTTCTGCCCAAGGGGAAAAGCATGCAATAAAGACAACTGCATAGCTCTACCTGTGGGGAATTACTTCATTTGGAGAAGAGCACGGAGAACGCCATCTCTAAGGGCATTGCCAGAAACAATGGAGATCTTGGTGGTGGTCAATTAGGGGAACGTGGCACAAGCAAAGCAGCTAGAAGTTTAATAGAAACATGAAAGAGGGAGTCAAAAAGAGCTCCTGAAAGCACAGTCAACTCTGGTGGTTGAAAAGGCTGTGTGCATGTGCTGGACTGCACTCACTTATTACATCAGAGCAGAACATGGGACAGACTTGAAAGCATTGTCCAGTACATTCAGACCCCCCACCATAGGGCAAAAGCTTCAATTGGCACAAGGAGTTTAAAGCCAACCTTTGACCAAACACAGCAATAAGCTACTCTGGCCCAGGAGTGACTCCTAGAAACACAGGGTTAAAAATAAAGTCATAACTCATCCCGGGCAATCTGGAAGACTGTGTGTATGTCTGAGGCTAGCCCTCCTTAGAATGATCAGAGAGGGATCCTCCAAGCTACTAGTCCGGTGAACATGGGTCAAAAGTAAACTCCTGAGATATTGATCACAGCCTCTAAGCACACATCCAATGACAAAGGGTAAAAATATTGCTGGTCAACAAATGCCTTGTACCAACCCAGGGGCAGCCCCTAGGGAACTAAACATTGGGCTGCACGCTGTAGGAGAAATAAGCAACTAAGTAAAGAACAAATTCCCCAGGAGAGAAGGATCAGCACTCAGAAGTGCTAGAAGATACTATCTAAAATGTCCAATTTACAACAAAAAAAATTGCAAAACATGCAAACAAACAGGAAAGCGTGACCCATATACAGGGAAAAACAAAGTAATAAATATTGCCCTAGAGGGGGTCCAAATGACAGATGTAGCAGACAAAAAGATTTATCAACAGAGAAGTGTGTGTATCTCTAAATGGAAATTCTGGAGTTGAAAAGTACAGTAACTGAAATGAGAAATTCACTACAGGAATTCAGTAGTATATTTGAGCTGGCAGGAGAAAGAATCTATGAACCTGGAAGACACATCAATAGAGATTATGCAATATGAAGAAGAGGGAGAGAAAAGAATGAAGAAAAATAACCTCAGAAATGTGGAACACCATTAAGTATACTAATATGTCCACACAGGGACTACCAGGAGGAGAGAAAGGGACAGGGGGAAAAAAATTCTGAGAAATGGGTGAAAACATCTACATTTTATGCAAAGTATTAATCTACACATTAAAGGAGCTCAACAAATGCCAAGTAGGATAAATAGATTCACACCCAGACACATCATAGTCAAATACTGCAAGCTAAAGACGAGAAAATCTTGAAAGTAGTAAAAGAAAAATGGGTCATCTCATACAAGGAAACCCCAATGTGGTTAACAGGTAAAGTTTCATCAGGAGCAGTGAAGCCCAAAAGACAAGGATGACATATTCAAATTGCTGAAAATTGTTTAAAAGCCTGTCAAATAAGAATATTTTACCCAGTAAATCTGTCATTCAAAAATGAAGGTGAAATAAAGATGTTGGTAATTGGCCTGCATTACAAGAAATGCAAAGGAAATTTTTTTCAGGCAAAAAGGAAGTGACACCAGACAGTAATTCAAATCCACATGAAAAGATATGGCACACCACTAATAGTGTCCATGTAGGTACTTGCAAAAGACAACATAATTGCATGTTTCTTCTTCTTTTAACTTATAAAAGCAACTACATAAAACAATATGTATATTTTGTTGGGGGAAGAAACAAAGCTATCTTGGAGTAAGGCATGACACCAGATGATATCTCACATCTACAGGCACAAATGAAGAGCCAGAAGTGGCACATAAGAAGGTTAACATCACAAACTATGCATACGTATGTGCCCTTCTTTCAGCTTTTTTTAAAGCCATAAGATCATATAAAATAATGATTATAATAATGTATTGTTGGATTTGTAGCATAAACATAATATGAATAACAGTAGTACAAAAATGGAAGGATGGAAAGGACTTATATAGAAGTAAGGTTTCTATATTTCAGTGGAACTGGTCAGTATAAATATGAAGTAAATACTGATAAGTTAGCATGTATATTGTAAGCCCCAGAACAAGTACTAAGAATGTAACTAAAAAAGTATACTAAAAAAATTATTGAAGGGTTCAAAATCTTACACTAGAAAATATTCATGTCGTACAAAATAATAAAGGAGCAATTGGAGGGAAGGCTTGGGGTGTATAGAAATAAATCAAAATGAAAAGTGTATAGGTGTATACTGAACCATGTTAATAAAAATTAAATATTAATAGTTAAATAAGGTAGAGATTGTCAGATTGTATTTTAAAAATCAAGACTCAACTCTATGCTGTCTATAGGAGATGCACTTTATATTCAAAGATAAATATCAGGATTGGTGGCTCATGGCTATAATTCCAGCAATTTCGGGGACTGAGGCAGGAGATTGCTTGAGTCCAAGAGTCGGAGGCCAGCCTGGGCAAAATGCAAAACCCCATCTCTACAAAAATGTTTAATATGCAAATAAGTTGAAAGTGAAAGGATGGAAAAATGATATACTATGCAAACACCAACTATAAAAGTCAGAGTGGCTATGCCAATATCAGATAAAACAAACTTTAAAAGAAGTAAAAGTGACTAGAAATAAATGGGGACATTTCATAATGATTGAAGGTTTCATTCATCAGCAAGATAAAACAGTTTTAAACATGTGCACCTAAGAACAGATCAAAATATCAAAAGCAAAAACTGACAGATTTCAAGAAACAGACAATTTAACAATAATAGTGGGATATTTCAAGGCCCCACTTTTTTTAGTATATCACAATTTTATTTTTATTTATTTATTTAAACAGGAATTTATTTTTTTTATTATAAAGATGTGTGGTGCACTTCAGGGTTAGGAGGTATACAAACGTTGATCATGCAGGTACCCTTATTGATGAGGTATGCCCCTCCCTCCCCTAGCAGTTTCCCTCAACTGCCAATCCTATCCCCCCTCCCCTGACAGTTTCCCACCACTGCCAATCCCTTTCTTATAGTATTATAATAATTGTTCAAGGTCCACTTATGAGTGAAAACATTTGGTACTCTTTTCTTTGTTTCTGTGATAGATAATGGCTAGAACAGGTAGGCAAAAATATCTACAAAGAAGTAGAAGACTCGAACAGCTATGCATCATGTAGACTTTACAGGCATCTATAGATCACCCAAAACCAGTAGAATACACGTTCTTTTCAAGTGCACATGGAATATTTATGTGGATAGACCATCTGGTAGGCCATAAAGCAAGCTTCAATAAATTTAAAATAATTGAATCATGTAAAGAATGTTCTCTGACCACAATAAGAATGAAATTACAAATCAGTAATAGAAACTTGGAGACTTCAGAAATATATGGAAATCAAACGACATACTTTAAATATAGGTCAAAGAAGAAATCACAAGGAAAATAAGAAAATACTGTGAGGTAAATTTTAAAAATGTATAGAATGCAGACAAAGCTGTTGTTAAAGGGAAGTTCTTAGTTGTAAATTCACTATATTTAAAAAGGAGTATCTCAAATAATAACCTTTTACTTTGAGAAATTAGAAAAATAAAACTAAATCCAAACAAGTAAAAGGAAAGAAATAGCAAATATTATGAAATATTAATGAAATAGAGAATAGAAAATCAGTAGAGAAAGTTAACAAAACCATAAGTTGGTTTTTTGGAAACATAAAAAATTGTCAAGTTTTTAACTAGACTGACTAGTAACAAAATAGTGAAGACTCAAATTACTAAAATTAAGAATGAAAGAAGGGACATCACTACCAATTTTACAGAAATAAAAATTGTAAAGGAATGTAATGAATAACTGCCAACAAGTTAGAAAACTTAGATGAAATGGACGAATTTATAGAAAGACACAAACTACCAAAAGTGGCTCAAGAAGAAATAGCCCCAGTTGCCACTTCCCACAAACCAAACCAAGCTCCCTACCTCCTAAGTTGTCCTCAAACTCTGAAACCAAGGTGACCTTATAATTTATGATTCAAACCAGGTCACTTTTGAAAATGAAAGGGAGAGAGAAGAAATAGGCAGTCCAAATACATCTATAACAAGTAAAGAAATTAAATTACTAATTTAAAAAAACTACCCTCAAAGAAAAACCCAGGCCTAGATGGCTTCCCCACTGAATTCTAACAAAAAAGCATTAATATCAATACTTTGCAAACTTTTTCAAAAAATAGAAGAGGCAGAAACTCTTCCCAATTCATTCTATG